TGCTAACCAAATCGCATCACACAGGATATAGAGTATTTTAATCCAATGTCATGTATCATTGCTTCTTCTGTTTTTACACGTAAATACGAGGTATGTATAGCCACTTTGTATCTGCGAAGCAAAATGATTAAACTTATTTTTGATGTCAATTTAGGAACAACGTCAATATTCTATCAGTAACAGATCGCCCATACTAGTATTATTACTATATATATAGATAAATTTTAATGAATCAGCCGTGAAATTCAAAAAATCAGTGATTCTCGATCTTTGATATTATATGCAAGTCTCGTTGGAAAATCCTTAGATATGTATAAAAGCAAGACCTGTTTGAATATGTTTTATACCACATAACATCCGAATAAAAATTTATTAAATAAGTCATTCAGAAAACACGTTACTGTAAAATAGTCATTTTTACATATCACGAAAATAAAATCGGAAAAACTGATCAATATTGTTATTCTATCACCAATAAAATAATTGACTCATGAAAAATATTTCAAACAACGGAGAAATAAATATTCTAATGTAAAGACCTTTAATTCTCAGATTAAATTTAAATGAAGGAATTTAAAACTTGAAATAATTCTACAGTACAAACAACATGTCATATGATCATAAATCAGTTTAGGAGTTTCAAAATAGTATAGGGTTTCTAAACTAGTTTAGAAAGAAGGTTAGAGGTTAGAAAGGCAACTTTAATTATATTATTAGTACAATCAAATTATTGATAGATGTGGAATTAGCATCTTTTATAAATTTAATAACTTTGTCGATACATATTTTTCTATTTTTCGTATTATCGCCTAATTAAATGGACTTTAAATAAATTATCAATAATAATAATTGGGAACTAAATGGTTTTTAATTTCATCAGGTTTTTCCTTAAGTCATGATTTTTAATTTAGTCAAGGGCTTTGGCTTAAGCCAAGCTTTTTTTTTTACTTTTGTCAATTTTGACTCAATGGTAGTGGACTTGATAATATTTCGTCAAGCAACATTAGTTAGGATGGTTATCAACAGCTATGGGAAAACTTTAAACTTATGCTGAAAATTTAAACTTGTTATATATAGAAACAATTGATTTGATCACTGTATAAGGTTTTTACCCTTTAGGCACCCCAGTGAAAAACTGAAATTAATTGTATCTATTGTTTATGAGGGGTATGGGACACTTTACCGACAATCAAAGTAAAGTCGAACTTGACGTAGAAATGGTCTTGCGAGGAACACCACGACCTCCACAGAAACCACAAGATTGTAATCGTGAAATACGGATTCAAACAGTATTAAATGACTGTAACATTAGATAAAATACAGAGTTTCTTCAGGGCATTGCCCATAATATTTTATTTTATAATTTTTTTAAAAAAATTTTTTTTTTGTAATAATATTTTTTTAACACAAAAGATTGAATGACTATTGCTTGCCAAAACTCGTAATTTTTTTTGCAGATTTTTGAGTTTGGTTCCATTTTTCAATCAGATCTGCAGTTTTTTTTATTCTGGCATATTAGAGTCGTACGGCAAAGGTTTAATTTCTTATAAACTTGCAGAGAAGAGAGGGGAGGAGAGGGAGGAGGGAGCGTAGTCATTTATATAGGTGATTTTTTATAAGTTTGTCTGAAAACCTGTTTACTTTTTTCCATAGCCACAAATTAAAATTTGAATAAATAACAAGATTAAAATTTCAGACGCAAAGTGAGCACGTGTCACAATTAATTAATCGCATAAATTTTTTTTTCAATTTGTAAGGCTTGTAATCAAATAAAATTTATTTAGATTGATTTATTTCACAAATTAAAGATAAAATAAAAACATGCTAATTCACACAATTTTCTACAACAGTTAATAATTTTTATATTTTCAACAATCAAATAAATAAATTGTTCATTCAAACAATGAGTTTAAAATATTTAAAATTTTTTGTAGTTTAAATAGTGTCATCATCACCATCATTATCTATATTTATACCTTGAACTTCAACTTCATTCTCTTGGTTCTCAACCACAAGATCTTTGTTGTCTTGATAATAGCACATTGGTGCTTTACCCTTGTTATTATTAACTTGGTTATTGCAGCACGTTTTCATGATTGTCACTTCTTCCTTGTTGTTTGGCTTTCATGATCTCTTACTTGATGATGATGATGAATTTGATGATGTTGCTAATGTGTTTATTGATGATGATTCATGAGATTTTTTACCAATGATCTGCTCCTCAAATTTCAACAAATCATCATTCTTTTAACTCTAGCTGTTGTTGATGATTTGCTTTGCGCTGGACTGGGGTAAGACCATTCAATTTCACTACAGATGATTTGCATGATGTTCCTTCCCACAAACAGCTCACCCGCTACTGAAAATGTTGATGATTTTGTTACATCTGGTACTGCCAAATGTCTGCCATTTGAGACAGTATATGTACATGGAATCATTACTTTGTTGGATGTGCTGGTGAACGAATTGTAAGTGTTCCTTTCCATCATGAAGAAGTTTTGATCTAGTTCGCCCTTTGGCTTGGCCTTTTTTTTTACAAGGAGAAGAAAAAGCACTGAACAGAGGTGCTATTGGTAGATCATGCATGTTGGGCTCCTCGTTCAAAGTTTTTAGGTCCAAGTTTATTGCTTGAATGACAGTTATCTACACAAAAAAAATATCATTCTTTACATTATTTAAATCTCTTGTCATTTATCAAAATAAATAATAAATAATTATTAAAAAAAAAAAAATTACAAATAATTTGGATTAAGAAATCTTCCAACCATCATCATAATGGAATCTTCCTTAATTTCTTGGATCATTTCTTCAAAGTTCTGTTGAAATGCCAATGCCTTAAAATTCAACTTTACAAATTATTCATCATCTACTCTGTTATATGCAGCACCTGTATAAACATTTGCACCGCTCAGTTTTTATATATACAGTTGATGTTAAAATAGATGCCATCGTTTTTAAAAATAGATTTTTTTATTGTTGTAGCGGTGTTTTTTTTTTAAAAAAAAGCATTTGTTTGAAATATCAAAATTTTTATCTTAAATTTTTTTTTCAAAAAAAACTTTGTGATCTTATTTAATTAATTAATAAGGGGAAATTTATTATATATTATATATATATACACACATATATACATATACTAAAAAATTAAATAAATATATATTAATTACTAATGATTTTTTATTATTACTAATAACAACAATAAACATTTTATCAATTATATAATTGTTAACTAATGCACGCGTGCGTATCCATGAACTCACACTTTAATACTTTAATAGTAACTTTTCGTTATCGTATAATGTTATCCGTACCTAAAAATAAATTAGATCGTAAATTTTAATCATAATCTAAAAGATTTATCATTTAAAATAATAATAATAATATTCATATAATGTTCCAAATAACTTTGGTTGCGCAGCTGCAGGACACTACGTAAGAAAAATTGAAAAAACAGTTTTCAGATTTTGACATGTTTTTTTTATTTTTTACTCAAGAATAATAATTTTGGTTGCGCAACGTGCAAGCAATTGAAAAAAACCGTTTGCGGACTTGACATATTTTTTTATTTTTTGCCCAATAAAAAGTAATAATTTTTTTAATAATTCTTAGCTTGCTTTGTTCCTCAATAATTAATGATCGGGTAAAAAAGTAATATCAAATCATGATTATAAATAATAATTGTCATAATTTAATACATTTACCAAAAAAAGCAATCGATCCTATTAATGTATTTACTTAAAAAAAGTAATTAATTCTACCCAAATGACATAATTTATTCTTTAAAAAAAAATTAGTAATATGACGATGATCAACAATCAACATGTTTTTTATTCGACTATTTTTATTTTTACTATATAATGAACCGTTTTTCGAATAAAAAAAAATTGGGGGAGCGGAAGTTCATTGCAATATCATTGCAATATCATTGTAAATAAATAACAGGCAAGGCACTTGCAATTGAAATTGCAAAGAACTCTTTTAATAAACAGAATATTTGCCGTACGACGCAAAATTCGCTTAATAAGGTGAAAACGTTGATCGCACCAAAAACCAAAAAATTACGGAATTTAGAAAAAGATAGTAGCACGGCAAATTTTCTTTTTTTTATTTGTGTTAATTAAAAACAAACTATTCCACTTTGGCAGTGAATTTTTGATTTAATTATTTTTAGTCCATTTTTTTATTATTCGAGTCTATTTTTTATCGGTATTAATGAAGCCAAACAATCTTTAGACTAATTCCTTTAACAATTTTAACAATAAGAAATATTATTATTAATTCGTTGAGATAAAGGTGCAAAGCTAAAAGAATCTTTAATTAACCTCTTTTGATAGAGAATTTAAAATTATTTATTCTTGTTTGTAGAAATAAAAATTGATTTATTTTTTTAACAATAAAAAATATTGTTTTGTTGATTTGTAGGGATAAAGATTGCAATAATTCAATAATTCACCAGAAAAATTTATATTTGATAATAACTTGAATTTTGGACATGTTCAAAAGATTCATCAAGTGATCGCGCTTTGATGCTCTATTTGTATGAGAAAAATCTACTAAACAGTGTTCCGTATAATCCATTAGAAGCAGAAATATCAGTAAAGAATAATGAGATTCAAAATAAGGTTGATAAATTTTGTGATTATTTTAATACTTTAATTCAGATGAACAATTCTGGATTGTATGGCAAACAAAAGATTATTACCAATAATTGCAGATATCATGAATTGTAAGAAATCTAAAGGTGTTTTTTTATAATAAAAATTTTTCTTTTTATAATCGATTAAATCTTTACTTCAAAAATAGAGGTTGGAATCGACTAAACTTTTTTTTGAACAACTAATAGTAATAGTCAATTACTTATACTAATGTTAATACCGCTAATATTGATAATTATTGTCTGACCAATTATAAATAAAAAAAGATTTTTGTGATATAAAAAAATTTATGGAAAATTTCTATGCGGAGAAGTATCAATACCATCAATATGATGATGGTGATGTTGTTGATGATAATTTTACATGTGAACTAATAACATTTCCGATACAAGGTCTAATGATTAGTTCATTAGCTTCAAGTTCCGATGATTTAAGCAGTGGTTCCAGAAGATTATTAAAAAAAAATCCATAACACATTGTTTTGTGTGGAAGTATTTTGAAAAGATGAAGGAATGAATTCGTAATTTGTAAATTAAAAAGAATTTTGACCAGCTAGTATTCGACTAAGGATTTTTTTGGACGATTTCTAAAAAATTTTCTAGAATTCAAATAATCTAATAAATGGACCTGGTTGTGTTGCACAGCAAAAGCTAGCAGTTACTCGAAATAGGATATCAGAAGTTAATAATCAGGTGTTTGATGCTTTTCTTATGGATAAATACAATGTAACTATGAGTTCTTATACTCTAATCCTTTATTTGAAGGATAACAAGCAAAAACTTTGGAAATATTTTGAGGTTACTTATCTTGATGGAATTAAACGGACATCATCGTTTATGAAGTGTTTGGCAAACAGACCATAAGGAAACTTTCTTGACAAAACGTTACAAAAAATAATAAATAAATTTTTTTATTACGCATCCACTAAATATATAAACTAGATTTTTAAGCTATTTCTACATAAGCCACGAAATTTCATTTGATTTCCTTAAATGTCAAAGTTCACATCACTGATTCCATGATTTCATCCATTCTCACTACACATCTCAACTATATTGTCTTCTGTAAGTTACATATTCTCTAAACGCTTTAACATTTCTTCCACAATCAAACCTGGTGATTCTTCTGACCTTTAAATATATAAACATAAATAAATATATTCATTTAAAAAAATTAAAATTACAATATTGATATTAATATTGGTAATATAAACATATAGATAGACGAACAGATATTTACATCTGCTTAATCTGAGCTAGTTTTTATTTTAACTTGAAATGAACCACCTTTGAATTTACTTGGTGGCTTTCCGATTTTGTCACCACTAACATCACGGTTATTACTACTTCTACCGCCAACACTATCAAACACTCCATATCATTTAAATTAATTCCGCTAGCGGATTTCATGAAACCTTGCAACTTATTATAGAATTCTTCATTTGTCACTCCTCCTCTACCAATTCTTTTATATATATATCGGCTGCAAGATTTTTGCATATCATTCATCCACTTGTGAAAAATTGATACCATCATCACCGCCATTGTTTGGCAATAGTCACTAGTATTTATTCTAGAAAAAAAAACAGAAAATGGCAAATCCAGTGAAAATGAGGAGATTTTAGGAAGTTGTGAAGGAAAATCGCCAAAGAACCTCTATTTGATAATTAAAATCCATTTTATTACGTTAAAATTTTAATCTACAAAAATTTATAATTACCGTAAAGTCTGGAAAGATAGAACCAGATGACAAATATCAATTTTCTACAAAGTTGTGACGATTAATATAATAAATTGTGCGTGGCAAACCATGAAAATTACTAAAAAGTTAATGCGCTATCTTTCCAGATTTTACAGTATAATTAACTGTCAAGTAGATCATCATCTAAAACATTCATCAGCGATTGTAATCTTTTTATTGAGAATCTAATTTATTTTGATTTATAACGCAAAGAAAAAAAGTTATGCCATCAATTTCTGTACGTATGGAGCCTAACTGAAATCATTTTCAAAACAAAGCATCTATTATATGAATTGATCGATAAGGGATCATTTAAAAAATGATCCACATCTTGGTTTCGATGAATTATTAGAAGAGAATATAGATGTTGTTGAATACTCGCCATGTGTAATTGCGGATTCAAAGATGTAATAGCCAGTCATAGAGGGAATTTTGATAGATCTCTTGCCTAGTTTAAAGTTATTTGGGAAGTTGATCGTGGTGATAATCTATATGAACTTGATGTGCGTTATCGACACTTTCTAAAAAAAAAGAACATGACAAAAGTAAACTGTGTTAAACATGTTGCCTACCTTGTAAAACATCCAAAGGCTTTTTTAAATGTAATGGATGCTTTGAGCATTCATGGAAGTGCAAACATTAGGATTTTCGGTTAGAACATATTCGATTTGAGGTGGACTGGAGTATATACCTCTGGCTAGCATTTTCTAATGAATGGCCAAATGATAAATGTTAATATTAAGACTGTTAAAATTCCTGCAAATTTAAACATGTGAAATAAATAAGCAATAATAATAAGTTGTCAGAGGTTATGATCGTGTAAATTTGCTAGACAAATCAAAAAAAAGGGGTGTTTGTTATTATTACGTTTGTTTACTAATGTTTGTGTAACTTATACCCACAGACTTGAGTTTTTTGATTATCTACTATATAAAAAAAAATTAAAAAAAAAAAAAAAAAACCTAAAATTGAAAAAAATACAAGTATACTTATAACTAATATGATGTTTAATTAATTCTTAATTAAATTTTTTTATTAAAAGATATTCGCGTTTTATGTAATTTTAAATAAATTTGTTTATTTTGCAAGTCAAAGTTTATCATAAATTTTATGCTTAAAAAAGCTGCAACTTTCTTTTCAAATTGAAAAAAAATGCTTTTCTCGTAGCACACGCCAATTTTTTTTTTGCCATGATGGTTTCTAATTCATTGTTAAAAAAAAAAAATAATAATTAAAATAATAACTGTATACAATAATAATATATATTATATATATATATTAAGAGTACATACGAAATTGTAAATTCATGCAAAAAAAAAAAGAAAATCTTTTTTTTTTTCGTAAATTTTGCATAAATTTATATATTTGACAGACAATATAGACAATACGTACAAAAAAAAAGTTTGCCATGAAGTCTATTAAAAGAGTTTATGAGGAAGATTCAGACACTTCTTCACTTAGCAGTAACCTTCTGACCGAAACTGAAGACTCATTAAGTGAAGGTGAAGCTAGTAGCACCAGTAGCACTAGTAGTCTTAGTAGCATTGGCAGCCTTAGCAGTCTTAGCAGTCTTAGTAGCAGTAATATTAGTAGTAATAGTTTTAATAGTAGTAGAATAGGTAATAGTAATAATTATAGTAATTCTAATATAAATAATGAAATAGGTAATAGAGTTAGTGTTAGAATTAATAATTCCAATGTTATTGCTAGTGCAAATAATTATGATATTAATCCTAAAGTTGTTATATGTAATGACAATAATAGCAGTATTATTAGGAATATTAGAAACATTGGTAATAGAAATAGAAATATCATTAATAAAAATACAAATACAAACACAAATTATAATAATAATGATTATAGAGGTTCAATTAATTCAATTAGAAGAAGTACAAGGATTATCAGCAATACTACAATTAATAACAGCAATGTGACAATTACCAGTAATAAAAATATAAAAGTTACAAAAGCAAACAAAAAAATCAATAATATAAAATCAAAAAAATTATCCAACAAGCCTGCCGCTGAAAAACAAAAACAACTTTTATCCAAAAATAATAATAATAAGCAACAACAGCAGCCAGAAACAAAACTATGTGAATCGTGTAAAATATTGCATTTGAACGTGCAAAAAGTTGGTAGTCTTGATTTATGCTTGTATTGTCGATCATTATTTGATGATGATATTGAATTTCGTTCTCGACGTGCTCAATATGGTTTTGAGTTGTATAAACGTGTTAAAGTGTTTTATAGTAATGGTGGATGGTACTCAGCTACTATGATGGATGTTAAGGATGGCCGAATCCGTGTACACTTTGATGGTTGGAGTGATTATTTTGATGAATGGATACCTGCTGGCAGTCAACGAATGAAGGAAATGACTATAGAAGAAATAGTTGAAGCACAAAAAAAATTGGATGTTATGAAAAAGGATGAGGGATTTATTGAGCAAACTGAGAATTTTTATAAATCTCTATTAAAAAGAAATAATAAACAACTAATAAATAATTATGCAAACCAATCTTCTTTATTTCATTCATCAAAGTCTCCATCTCCATCTTCATCTTCATCAACTTCACTATCAAATTATTCCACATATTCTGAAAAGGGGTTTTCAAGTACTTCTCCAACATCAATTGAAAGTGACAACACTAATCATAACCACAAAAAATTAAAAACTACAATTGACAATTCTGATAAACAAACTGAACAATTCATCACTAAAGATCCTTTAGATGATTCATTTGACTTTAGTGACTTTTATTTTGCAAGAAACACACGTCGTAGTGCCCGTAATGATGTAATATTAACTGATGGCAATATTCTTGCAAAGTTAAAGACACGTTTCAAATTGGGTAATAAAATTGAAGTTCGTAATAGATTAAGGGAATGGATGCCTGCAACTATAATTGCATCAAAAGGTTGTAGAATCTTAATTCATTATGATGATGTGCCTGCATTTTATGATGAGTGGATAGATATCACAAGTGATCGACTACGCATAAGACAAATAATTAAGGAACCTGATACCTATGCTCATCAAAATTCTTCCAAAGTTATATCATCATCATCATCATCATCATTACATTTGATCAATAAAAAAGATAGACACCAACGAAAGAGTGGAAAATATGATATTAATGATGATAATAGCCAGGTGTCTCACTTGGAATTTGTCATAAATGGTGAACGAATTGGGAGTTTTGAAGGTAATTGATTAACTAATAATGTTAGGGATGACAATAAAATATTTACTTGTACTTTTTTATAATTTTGTAGATAATGATAAATGGTGT